GCAGCTGGGGAGTACCGTAGCCTCTGATTGGTTGGTGGTATTTGACTACTTTTTGACCGTTGAACAGTCATAGATTCGGGTTTTTTGTGTTTTAACTTTTATATATATATATATATATATATATATATATATATATATATATATATATATATATATATATATATATGTATTTGACTACTTTTTGACCGTTGAACAGTCATAGATTCGGGTTTTTTGTGTTTTAACTTATATATATATATATATATATATATATATATATATATATATATATATATATATTACCATTACACAACTTTTACACACCCTTTACACAACTTTGACCAAAACTTTTATTCTTTTTGTTTAATTTTTTTTTTATGAAAAATGTATTCTTCCAAAAGGTCTAGCAAAAAAAACACCCGTCAGAAACACCATCATTTTAATACCTTCATTTGATCAACCGATTTTTTCACCTCTGTATTACCATTGCGGCGGTATGCTTCTATATATTCCACAACGATCAGCGCAACCACTATCACAAACACCACCACTACAACAAACACTACCACAGCCCGACCCATATTTTAATCCATTTGATCTTTGTCTCAACCCGAGTTTGTTCAACAAACACAAACACAACTAGAAATGATCGTTTCTGATTTCGAACCAGAATTCGTTACAGAAACTCAGTACACTCGCGCAGCAACTAAAAGAAAAGAAAAGACGGAGGCTAGATGTTGGGAACCTCTGGAAGTGTTAGTGTTAGTACAATCTTGGATCGGTATTTCAAAAGATGCGACGGTTGGAAAAGACCAAAAGTATGACCACTTTTGGATTCGCGTTTTACATAGGTTCCATAAAGGAATGAACCGTGGAGAATATCATTCAAAACATCAAGTGTACTCCAAATGGGGGAAGATGAACAATTAAATCATGCTGTTTAATGACTTGTATAACAACATGAAACGTCAATGGAAAAGTGGAGAAAGCGATTAAATGATTTTGAAGAAAGCGTTGAAAGTGTATCAAAAAAAAATCTGAAGGCTTTCAAGTTTCTTGAAGTTTGGAATTTTGTGAAATATAACAAGAAATGGCTAATTAGCAAAACATCAGACGAGCATATCGACAGTGGTTCAAAACGCAGCAGAACATCTGAGTACGATCACACTGCATCTGATGCTCGTGTTGAATTTGATCTGAACGAAGATGAACCTGTTCCAGTTTCACCTCCTTCCCGACCAATGGGAAGAGACAAAACAAAAAGCAAAGGCAAAGGTAAAGCGTAAGATTCAGATGAGTTGAAAGAAATGGGGGCCGACATGAAGGGTATAAAAGACAGAATTGACAAGATTTTGCAAATTGCTTCAGAAAGAGAACTTTGAAAACAAAGAGTGAGTGACATGCGATACTAGCAACAGACACGTCGAATATGACCGGGGACGAGCTTCAAGTTATTTTGGCGATGAATGAGAAACTAAAAAAAAACGTTACGTAAATTGTAGCCAATTTCTAGTTTTTTTTCAAAGTTTTTAATCGTTTAGTGTGTGTGTTTTAAGTTGTAGGTTTTTTAAAGTTATTTTGGTGTTTTTTTAGTTGTATGATATTTATATTTTTAATTAATGAAATATTATCTTTTTAAAATTATGTTTTTGTTTTTTATTAAAAAGAAGTTTTATTAAATTAAAATAGTTAAACAAAAACAAAAAATAAAATAAAATAAAAGTGTGGTACCACTCTCTTAGTGTGGCAAGACACTCTTTTAGTGTGGCAAGAAACCACACTTGTGTGTAAAAAATGATGTAATACTTATGTGGCGGGAAAGGAAGTGCACTTTCGATGACACCACTCTTTCCAGCCTCATCCAATTCCGCAAGTTACCGCTATATTGATCTCAGAGGTAATCTAAATGATGCCGAGCTATTAGTATTGCTTTTGTAAATCGGACATTTATTCAACAATAACTAAAATTTTATAGACATAATTTTCAATAATACATGAAAAGTTGCATTTGATGGGTGACATGACTTGGAGAGGTATGGACGGCCGTAACTGTGGGTCAGTTAGTGGTATAAATTTAAACAAAATATTAAATAGTTGAAATAATAACAAAAGGACATGTGGGCTCAAGTGATGCCCGGCCCCACTCCACATCAGATCATGGTCATACCTTTTCATTATCACCATTTTGGTCTCATGACCTTATCCATCCTAAATGCTTTGGTAAATTATACACACGAATGATATTTTTTAAGACGCATTGACATCGATTACAAGAATGCAAGGTTGTAAAAAAAAAATTATGTGGTAGTTATTAACTCGATTAGGTTAAGGGATTAATCGATGTAAGTAGGGATTAATTGGATACTTTAGATTAATAAGAAATTTATTTTTTAAAAATAAATTTTACCAATATCATAACAACATAAGTAAATAAACATAAAAAACTCTTCATATAGTGTTTAAACATTTAACTCGCGAACCATCACACATTAAATTCACGACTAGTATCGATGCCGACATTAAGAGAAACAAGAAGTTGATTCAGTCAAAGAAAATGAAACAAAGAGAACTAGCTAGAAGTGAGAACCATAACTTTTTATTTACCTTTTTTCTGTAATTTTTTATTTTATTTTTCAAGTTTTTATTGATTATTTGACTATTGTTGACTATTTTATTAAATTTGACATGTTAAATTTGTTGACAAATTTTGACCGATTATAATCGATTAGAACCAATTAGTGTTGCTTAGGATCAATTAATTAGAACCAAGACCGGTTAAGATGACTGACTAACATTAATCGTAAGTAGTTAGAGACCGTCTAGTGTATATGTGCATATTAATTAGCAGCCTAATAAACATAAAATATAAACAAGTCACAAACTTATAAAAATAAAATGTATAAAAAATTAAATAAATGGTCTTTATGGTTTATCCATTATCATAAACTAAGTTATGATCATAGACTAAGTTATGGTATCTGAAAAAACCAAATTATCCTCATACTAACGGACAAAAACTAACAATCTTAAAAATAGATCATTCATACGAGTTTTGGAAATTATTGAGATCATGTTCATCAAAAAAAAAATTAGCAATGGCTGGGTTTGTGATATTTAATAAACCATATTTAATTTTGTTAAGTAAATATAAAAATTATGTTAATCATCATACATCATACCATATGTTTTTCGATGAAGACCATTTTCAAATTTGGTTTGTGATGTAAAGCTACTTGAAATTCATAATTTTGGAATCTAACTTGGAAGTTTTTTATTTTCCTTTATGAAAATGATCTTTGATTTTCAAAATCTATAATCACGACGTAAAGTATATTTTAAAAATAATTATATTTGAATTGTCGAATTTTTTATCTATATTTTTGAACTCACTTAGATTTTTAAGAATCTATTTTCTAAAATAAAGTAAAATTCTATTTTTTTTTAATAATTTTAGAAATATTTTTGTTTTGACAAAAATGCAAAAATAATCCATGTGGTTTGTTACTTTTTATGGATATGGTCAAAACTTTTTAAAAATTGAATTTATGGTCCTTATTGAGAGGTTTATTTATGGAACAAGATCCTGGAGTTAATTTCCGTGTGTTTGTGGCTGTTAAACCCCTCACATGCATTGCACACGAGGACATAAATATCTTTTTTACTTGAGGGACCATTTTTACAATTTCTGAACTAATATATAGAGACTTCCCCAACGTTCAAGTTCTTCCCCAAACGTTGTTCTACAACTTTCAAGTTGTTGTTCCTTCTCTCATATCTCTTTATTAACGGACGTCTTGTCAGTTTAATCACACAATGGTTCTCTGTTTTTGTGGTAAGTTTGTTGTTGTTAAATGCTCATGGACACCGAAGAACCCTAGCAGACGTTTCTATGCTTTCCCTCAAAAGGTAAAGTATCCGTTTGCACCCATTTTGATTTGTAATCTAAATAACAGTTTTTATTTTCCCATTTTTCAAGGACTCTGCTTGTCGCTTCATCGGATAGGTTGATCCTCCCATGTGTGAAAGGTCTAAAGTCATTATTCATGGACTATTGAGAAATATGAACCGAATGCAAGCTTGGTGCACAACTCTAAAGATTTTGTTGTTGGCTAGCAGGGTGTTTTTTGTGATTTTGTTCATAAGGTCTGTTTAGGTTTGGGTAATAGGGCAATGGGGTGGGTATTTTTGTTGAAGATCGATAAAAGTGTGGTTTTTTGTGGATTAATGGTTTTTGGTATTTTGACCTAGCTTCTTTGTAGGTGTTTGTAAGGTCAAAGTAAGTTGTTTACGTAGTAACTAACTTCATGATATAAATATGAATTTTATGGAATTGCTTATGTTGTTTGCAAGGTTCTTTGTAGTATTTTGTAAGGTGAAAGAAAAGTTAATGTGAATAACTAACTGTAATTACATAATACACAACAATAACCAAAAACCATAATAACCAAGGCTGCAATTATATAATAGACTACAAGCATATAGTGCAATTACATTATCCCAAAATATGAAACCATATATATGTTCTAATGCTTATCATACGAATGAAAACCAAAATAACCATAAGTCATAAGTTTTTTAACATCAAAACACTTCCAAAAGTAGCAAATAACATCTGCCAAAACAAAACACAACCTTGATCTTCAACTTCTACCTAGCTTGGCAACTCACCTTCATCCACCTCCTTGACCTTTGCATGTCCTTGAGTTATGTCCTTTGTTTTTTCATTTTGCACATGTTACACTAAAAATTTTCCTTGTTAATTTTTGAACTCCATCAGGACCAACTTTACATCCTTCTTCCTGACTTACACCATGAGTACCACTCTGACTTTGACTCTAACTCAATTTTTCATCCTCACTTTTCTTCCTCTTCTTTGTAGGCCTACTTGGTTGCTTATGATGTATTATAGGGATAAGTGTGGTGTGTCACAAACTTTTAGGCCACATTATTCTTCCTTTTATAGGCTCTACCTTATAGGAATATGCATTCTTCCATGTATCCAACCAGTATACCTTATTAACCTACCTATAAATGTCACCAACATCCTCTAAGTTCTTGGTCATTTCATAAAAGGTTGCAATGGCATGTTTATAGGGGATGCCTATTAGCTCCCACTTCCTGCAAGTACATGTGTTGTTCCTAACAGCTACACCATGTTGATCTTGCCATGCCCCAGTGACTTGGTATTTCTCACCCCCATTCCACCTAGCAATGTAATGTGATGCATGAGACTTGTTTACATCCAATATGGTTGTTGCAGTGGGTGTTAAAGGCCCTTTTTCCTTGGCCCTGAATACTTTGTCAAGATAAACACCAACCTCGAAGTCCTTTTGAAGTTGTTCCTGCAATGCTCAAAGAGGAATCCCTGGATTCGTGCCAATTTGGTCCATGATTCGCTTGGATATAAAAGTAGTAGTGCAAGCTCTAATCTTCCTACTTTGAAGGCAAGTGTGGTTGTCATTTAATGTCCTTACAAACCAGGGAGATTCTATGTTTGACCTAGAAGCATGAAGGAGCCAACTATAGTTTAATTTTTCTAAATTTACCTCTTTGCCCATACTTTTATTTTTGGTATTAAGGCCCACCAACCCACGTGCATTCATGACAGGGACTACGCCTCTACAAAATGCCTGAATTCTAAGCTTGTCATTCTTTTTATAATATAAATTCCTCCTAGTTTCTAATGCGTGCATGTCAATTTTTTCTTTCAAATCTTTCTTTGATTTAAACTTTTGCCCAACATAAAAATTATCCTTATGGACATTGCCAAGACTGCATCTTTTCTCCTTAGCCAAATTCTTAAGAACACATTTCTTTTCCTTTCATCTTTTAACCCTTCATGTAAAGAATCCCATCTATTATTGTCAATAACTTCTATGTCCTCATGTTCATCATTTGCCCCAACCCTATTATGAAACCCATCCATCTGAACACAACCATCATCCTTATCAAGATTGAGGTTAAAGTCAGTCATATCCACCTCCACTTCTGAAACATTGTTTTCATTATCAACAAGTTCATCATACTATTCTTCTGATTGTTTCCCAAGATCATCACTGTCAGCAGACTTTTCATGTTCAGACTGATGGTCTTCAATATTCTCATCTTCTGGTGGTTGATAATCTTCTCCATCAAAAGGATCAAAGTGATCATGAGAAAAGTTCTCATAATGAAAGTCATCATAATCAAAGTTATCATGGTCACCACCTTGATCTTGTACCACATCATCCATGTTAGCATGCTCAACATCTTGAACTTGTACCACATCATCCATGTTAGCATGCTCACCGGCTTGATCTTGTACCACATCATCTAATTTAGGATTCTCACCACCTTGATTTTGTACAACACCATCCAATTTAGCATGATCACCACCTTGATATTCTACTATATAAATCAATTCAACTAAACGAATTTTCTTGGCACAAGAAATTTGACCAACTATTGAGTTCACCCTTCCATTTCTTTTATACTCAGATGAAACTTGTGTAGGGACTCTGTCAAAGAGTATCAAGGACATATAACTTGCCAATTGTGTTTGATCATTAGCTTCATCTATTAATTGGGTTTTATCCTTTGCTGATACTTGAGGTACATTTGCTTCTTTTGGAAGATCACCATCATAAAGCTCCTTAATAATAACTTTTTTCTTTCCTTTTGGAGACATAAAATAGGTCAGCAAATTAGTTTGTCCATGTTCTGTATACACTTCAATAACCTTGTTATCTCCAATATATTGAGCCAAATTCAAGACATCATTATCATTCCTTAGAGCTCTAAGACCAAAATCCAAGTCTTCATGAGGAATCCTAAAATGGTAATATATTACTGGGGGTATAGAGTAACCTAGCTCTAGCATCATTGCGTCTAGTTCATGAACTGAGAACTCATCAATGTCTACTAAATCAATATATCGCACTTCACCTTTAACATACTTTGTGTTTGGAAGCTTGGTAAAATTTCCACCACGGTGTAGCTTTATGGTGAACATTGTTGGTACACGCTCTACAAGATACAAAAAACATTAAGTAAAAAATTATCAGATGTTTGTATTTTTAGCTCTGTTCTACAGATCATCAAGAAACCCAAGAAAATTTCGTAAACAGAGGATAAGTGAAACTAATCATATTCATTTGTGGTGTTATACGTCTCGCCTTTTGGCCTAATCGTCCACATTACGAACACCATTTACAGTTGAAAAGAAAAAACAAGTAAACCCCTTGGCCCAAATCTTGATTAGGGTTTTTGCGTTCAAAATGAATAACGAAGAAGATGGAAGTGGAAGAGATATCTAAATATTTTTTGTGAATTATGATGCTAAGACGGTAACAAGTGGGTTTATTTCAGGAATTGTGAAAACGGTTCCTCAAGTAAAAAGACATTTATGCCCTCGTGTGCAATGCACGTGAGGGGTTTAACAACCACAAACAAATGGAATTTAACTCCAGGGACTTGTTCCACAAACAAACATCTCAATAAGGACCAGAAATCCAAATTTTAAAAGGTTTGGACCATATCCACAAAAAATGACAAACCACAGGGACCATTTTTGTATTTTTGTCTTTTGTATTTAGTCTTCTTATTGGTCACAAGTCTATCAAAGCTTAGTTTTTATGTGATTCAATACATGTAAGTGTTTATCAAAACCTAATGAAAGATAAGATGAGTTGTACATATAAATGTTATTTAAAATTCTTAATTCAGAAATTATCACAAGAGAATCCATTCCGCTAATAATAAATTTAAGAAGCAGTTACAGGCTAACGATGCAAAACATGTGGTCTGCAATGCATGAATGATGAGTTGTATGCCAGAATCATAACTATAAAAACTCAATCTATATGTCAAGGTTGTGTGGAATCAAGTCTTTTGTAATATTACATAAAGATTAAAAAAAATACTAATTTTTAACAAGAGTTGTTATCGTCCAAGATTTAGGAATTTGTATCTATTTTTTCGGTTTGATGTCAATTTCGTTAAAAATATATCAACGACTAATCTTTTATTAGAGATGTATAACTCTATATTCATATGTTTTTGAAAGAAAAAAAAATGTTGTTAAGAAAAACATTACTTGGTTCCGACATGTGATATGTCCATATTAATTACATTAATAATTTAATATTTTTTTTTTACAAATTCTTATTTTTAATTTTCGAGCTATGAGTTGTTATCATTAGTAAACAAAACTAATTAAATGAATAAAACCATCATACAATTGAATATAACATAATTATGCATTTTTATTTATAGTAATTAAGTTTTTTTTCTTTTCTTCAGACATTCTTTTCGTGAAAGATTAATTTCCAACACACTTTCACCTAAAATATTGTTAAAACAAGATATATAAAAAACAATTAATATTTTTTTAACGGCCTAGAAATCCTATCTAGTAACCTAGAGATACTATATGTAGCCTTTTAATTTCAAGTTATACTAGAAGAGTGTTTGCATGTGATGATACATTTGAAAGGCCTATATGCCCAATAGTCATTATAAAATGATATTGCTACGTAACCCGATTGTCCATTCCAATTATCATCACTCCCCAATCTTAGACTGATGATCTCAAGGGATCTATCCTAAAAAAATCTCTAAATGAACACTACTGCATCGGGGATTCCTTCGCAATATATGCTAATAAGACGACCCTGGGGGTGAATAGAGTACCCACATGAATAATTTATTCATACTTATAGGTCACATTTATGTCTGTATGTGGTTCCTTAACATTTATATGTCGAGGACGTGCCCATGTATAATTTAGTAAAACCTACAGGTTGTGTACTTGTCCGCGTATGGTTCATCAATGCCTACAGGTCGTAGACCTATCCGCAAGCAATTTCATTAATATCTATAGGTTGTAAACCTGCCCATGTATGATTTGTTAACACCTACAAGTTGTAAACTTGCCCATGTATGGCTTATAAACATCTACGGGTTATAGACTTGTCCATGTTTGACTTGTAAACCTCGAATCTATATGATCCGTTTTGAAAGCACTCGGACATTTTTTGATACGCTGGTGGGATAAAGGATACCTAACTGCCTAGTGTTATCTTTGATCTTCGACGTGTATTCGCAATTTCTATACCCAAGTTATAGGCCGATTACACAAGATTTTCATATTGGATGGCTTGATTAGAAATCATTTATGATAAAGGTCGCCTAAGAAAGAGAGATCCAATACAGAAATGGGATCAAACATGTTTATTAAACTTTTGTATTAGTGATCCTGTTAAACTATGAATTATATAGTAGAATATAATTGATAATCAATATCTACTTAATTGGATTCAGATGAATACAATAAAGGTCACCTAACCATTTATTTGTTTAGCAACTTGGATTCGAGATTATGATAATTAATGTTTTTGGAAACTAAAAGGGTAATCGTTATTAAGGGTGTAAATATTGAAAATACTAAATCAATTTTGTTAAAACTTTATAGATGAGAACTAAATCCAATCTTGTAACCATGCATCATTTTAATTGTGCTAATCAACGTAAACATATAACATTCGATAGATATAATTTCCACGATTGGCTTCATGTCTTGAGAAAGAATCTCAAAAGAGTTCAGAAATTGAATGCTATTAAAGAACCTATTCCAAAACAACATGATATTGATGATAAAACTGAACATAATGTTTGGTAGAAGCATTGCAATGATTCTGAAGATATTTCAAAATGTTACTATATTTAGTTGTTCCTAACCTTTGGAAGGAACTAAAAGGCTTAGAAGCATTTTACATGTTTTGTCGAGTGAAGCAAATATCCCACATAAACAAAGTTACTTGGTTTGAATCGGATCACACACGAGAAGAATGCAAGGCTGAAGTGTTGGGTTTTGATACGAAATAAAAGTTTGTTTTTCACCAAAACCGACAACAGAAGACTTTAAAAATAACAAGTTTATTTTTAGTTCATAACACAACCAAACCATCATGGATCCATTTATAATGGATAGAATGAAATAAAACTAACCACATGATGTTTTAGAGATAACCTTTGAAGCCTTTGAATCCACTTGGTTTTGTGGTGTTGATGAAGATGAAAAAAGATCAAAGTGTATGATATTCTCTACAAGTATCCACCATCAAGAGTAAGGCACTTGGAATGCTACTTCCTTATTGTATTCTTGAGTGTCTAAATCCGTTAAATGCTTAACTCAATTAAGTACTAAACGGAACAAATCAAGAGGTATTCTAAACACAAAACTAACTTCAAGATCAAGAGGTATTCTAAACACAAAACTAACTTCAAGAGATAGATAGATAGATAGAGAGAGAGAGAGGGAGAGAGAGAGAGAGAGAGAGAGAAGAGAAGAGAAAGAAAACCCATCGTTCTGGAGAGAAAAGAGAGGAAGAAGTAGAGCTTCACACTTACAAAAATACAAGCCTCATGCATCTCTTATATAGACCATGAAAAATAAGGTTTAACCATTAAAATAATCTAAAGTAATGGTAGCCTTTGGAAGCATGGGAGACAAAAGGTGGAAGGTTGAAAAAGCAACCTCCTACACCATCATTATGCCTTTTAAAAAGAAAGATTTTTTATTTTTTTTATAAACTCCAAGTTTATAAAATATAAACTTTGTCTTTAGGTAAAAGACAAAAAATCCAAATAGTCTAAAATATTGTGCATGACTTATGAATTCATATCATATGAAATATTAACTAGTAATACTCTCTTATGATTATGATTTTCACAAAACAATAACTATTACCTAAGTAAAATAAAAGAATCGATATTATTTATTAATAATCATATTAATAATAAATATACAAAATGTGCTAACTTGATAAAGGTGTGACCCTATAGGATTATATATTATTAGCAATATGACTCCGTAATGATTCTTGGGCACATAGATCCAACAATCTCCTACTTGCACAAGATTCATTATAGACTGACATAGACAGTAGCTGACGTCTAGCAACGGGCTACTTCCCCTAACAACATATCAAGGGTATCATTTCATCAACAACCAATTCTAGGAGCTCTAAGCTACAATTGTTACTAAAGGTGTCACATCAATTATTCCTTTGTCTCAGACATTATATCGAACATGAGATATGGATCACAATCAATCTCATTTACTATTCAACTTTAAATAAGGCCTAAGATGTCATGCTCTCAACGAATAAGAGGGACAAATCCCATCTTGACTACATACGCCCATCAATGTAGTTCATGTCATACCTAACGATGGCCCTTATGACTGCCTTTAATGAAACAATGTTAAATCATGTCAAACTACAACAATTCCTACACTTAAAGTCCCAAATATGCATCCCAAGTCTAAGAATACAAATATTATATTTACTACATACACCCATCAATGCAGTTCATGTCATACCCAACGATGGCCCTTATGACCGCTTTTTAAGAAACAACATTAAACCATGTCTAAGCACAACAATCCCTAAACTTCAAGTCTCAAATATGTATCTAAAGTCTAAGATTAAAAAGATACAACCTTGATCAAAACATCACTCTTGACTATGATCCATAAAGTTGTTTTGATACGGGTCAAGTCCAATACTTATTCTCCCAATCAAGTATCTATGAAGTTGGTAGCAGCTTTTTTCCATTTTCATCTCCATGAGAATCCACCAATCCACTCATATTAGTCTTACTTCATAGATGCTCCCACAACTATGAACGACTATGGATATTTAGAACCACCTAGTTATTCAAGTATTTATACAAGCTAATATAGAACACAACAATTATTTAATGAAAGACTCATATCCAATATATCATACATTATAATATATGCTAATTTATTATTCTAATATCCAAATACTAAATTTGAATCAAATACATCTACTTGTATCAATAATGCTCTATATTACCAGCTTGACTTTCATGATTTAGCTAATGAAGCAACTTTGTTAAGTAGATTTGAGAAACATGATTTGTGTAAACTTCGCAAATACAATCATTTTCAGTTTTATATACATAACTCATTAAGTATCTTTGTAT